CTTTGTTACCCAGGCTGGAGGTGCAGTGGCATGATCTCAGTTCACTGCAACCTCCACCTCCTAGGTTCAAGCGATTCTCATATCTCTTCTGCCCCCTGTACTGCCAGTAGCTGAGATTACAGGCTCCCACCACCACGCCCGGCTAATTTTTTAAATTTTATTAGAGATGGAGTTTTGCCACGTTCGCCGGGCTGATCTTGAACTCCTGACCTGAAGTGACCTGCCCACCTCAGCCTCCCAAAGTGCTAGGATTACAGGCATGAGCCAGTGAGCCTAGCTGTAAAATACTTTCAATGGTTTCTTGCCTTTTTTTTTTTTTTCTCTTCTGAAAGAAGTGTCCCATGACAGAGATTAATTCTTTATTGAAACTGTGAGATAATTCTCTTGTTAAAGCTATGTCAGTTTTCAATTTCTTTTTGTTGTTGTTGTTAGACACAGAATCTCACTATGTCACCCAGGCTAAAGTGCAGTGGCACAATGTCAGCTCACTGCAACCTCTACCTCCTAGATTCAAGTGATTCTCATGCCTCAGCCTTCCAGTAGCGGGGGTTACTGGAACGTGCCACCATACCTGGCTAGTTTTTGTATTTTTAGTAGAGATGGGGGGTTTACCATGTTGGCCAGGCTGGTCTCGAACCCCTGACCTCAAGTGATCTGCCTGCCTCGGCCTCCTAAAGTTCTGGGATTACAGGTGCGAGCCACTCCACCCAGCCAGTTTTCAGTTTCTTTTGTGTGAGAGGTCTGTATCATTTCTATTTCTTCCATGATTAACAATCTCAATCAAATTTTATTAGCTAAAGCACGGTGGCTCACGCCTGTAATCCCAGCTACTTGTGAGAGCGTGGCAGGAGAATCGCTTGAACCCAGGAGACGAAGAGGTTGCAGTGAACCAAGATAGTGCCACTGTACTTCAGTCTCTGCAAAAGGGTGTGACTCTATCTCAAAAAAAAAAAAAAGATAATTAATTAAATTTTAATTCTTTTGTGTTAATGTTGACTTTTTTACAAACTTTTTAAAATATGCGATATCATAGCTTTATAATTTATTTTATAGTTCATGATCTTATTACTCCCCAGAACTCATATCCTTTCTTAATTCTTCTCATCCTCTATTTTATTCATATTGTCTTATCCTTCATAAGTCACATCAGGTTTGTCCATCTTACTGTTTGTAAAAAACCAGTTTCTTATTGCTCATTTGTTTTTTGTTTTCTGATAACTATATCTAAGGTAATAAATATACCTTTATTCCTTTATGTTCTAAAAATTTAGACATGTAGTATTTTAATACACATTTAATAATAAACAAGTGTCTGTGAAACCTTTGATTATTTTGTGGTTTCCAGTTTAATTATAGGTTATTTGGAAGTATGTTTTTGTTCTACCTAGATGTATTAGGTTTTTTTTTGTTTTGTTTTGTTTTTGTTTGGAGACAGAGTCTGGCTCAGTTGCCCAGGCTGGAGTGCAGTGGCACGGTCTCGACTCACTGCAACCTCTGCCTCCCAGGTTCAAGCAATTCTCCTGCCCTGCCTCCCAAGTAGCTGAGACTACCAGTGTGCATCACCACGCCTGACTGATTTTTGTATTTTTAGTAGAAATGGAGTTTTACCATGTTAGCCAGCCTGGTCTCGAACTTTTACCTCAGGTGATCTGCCCTCCTTAGCCACCAAAAGTGCTGGGATTACAGGCATGAGCCACCTTTCCCAGCCCTCAGATTTTAAGCTATAGAAGAAGGCCAGGCATGGTGGCTCACACCTGTAATCCCAGCACTTTGGGAGGATGATGCAGGTGGACCACCAGAGGTCGGGGGTTCAATAGCAGGCTAGCCAACATGGCGAAACCCTGTCTATACTAAAAATACAAAAACTTAGTTGGACATGATAGCAGGCACCTGTAATCCCAGCTACTTGGATGGCTAAAGCAGGAGAATTGCTTGAACCCAGGAAGTGGAGGTTACAGTGAACTGAGATGACACTGTTGTATACCACCTGGGCGACAGAGTGAGACCCTGTCTCAAAAAAATAAAAATAAGTTGTAGAAGAATTGTGGGCATTTTATTTTCTTCTTGTTTCATCTGTATTTTCTGAATTTTATATTATTATTGTCTTTTATACTCAATGAAGGAATATTACTTTCAAAGTAAGATAAAAGATGAGACAAAAACCTTCAACTTTATAATGAACTTTACAAAATTTAAATAAAAGTAGAACAGAAAATAAACATTTGCTTTGGATCAGATGTTACTTTCTGTATTTTTTAGTGGAAGTGAAGAAGCTCTTTCCAATGAAGACTGTGAAAATGTTTACCACTTGGTGTACTCGGCGCATCGCCCTGTAGCTGTGGCAGCTGGAGAATTCCTTCACAAAAAGTGAGCTAATTATCTTTGAAAAGAGATTCCACTTTTATATGTTGTTTTGTTGTTGTTTTAGAGTTTGTAAAAGAGAGTAACAGTGACTGAACACAGTGCTAAACATGTCCATCTCATACGCTGGGGGGGACTATAACACTCTTAAGCCTATGTATACATTATGAATCACATCCTTGAGGATGCTGTCACTTGTGATGTTCTCCTATTTTTCTGAAATCTGACAGGGTGATTCTCAGCTAGATGTGAGTGGAGATTGGAGGAGTGCATGAAATCTGTAAAAGCTCCTCAAGTAATTGATAATTCATCACACTAGTGTTCTATTTTTTTCTTTAAAATTTTGAGATCTTATTTTCTCAACATTTGTAATCTAATTGTGAAGCAGTATCAACTTCAAAATGCCTTCAAGGTTTTAATTTTTTTCATTCTCTCCATGTGATGAGGATGGATGGATGGATGGATGGATGGATGGATAGATAGATGGAGACTGGGTTTTCTGTTGTTACCTAGGCTGGAATGCAATGGCGCAATCTCAGCTCACTGCACCCGCTGCTTCCAGGTTCAGGGGATTGTCCTGCTTCAGCCTCCCAGGTAGCTGGGATTACAGGCATGCACCACCATGCCCGGCTAATTTTATATTTTTATTAGAGACAGATTTTCTCCATGTTGGTCAGGCTGGCCTTGAACTCCCAACCTCAGGTGATCCGCCCACCTGAACCTCCCAAAGTGCTGGGATTACAGGTGTGAGCCACTGTACTTGGCCATGATGAGGATTATTTTAATCAATAATTCATACTAATTCTGAAAGTTATATATATTAGTTGCAGTTTAATTTTTTTAAACCTTATTTATTTTTTGATAAAGCGTAAAGCTAGTGAGAGTATATGCATATAAACACTTAGGAAATACATTTTTTATTGTGATTTACTGCATATGTTTTATGTTCTATAATTAGTAGATTCATTCTTTAAAATACATATATATATGTGTATATATATATATTTTTTCCCCCTTAGAGATGTAGTCTTACTATCTTGCTCAGGCTGGTCTTGAAATCCTGGCCTCAAGCAATTCCCTTACCTCAGTCTCCCAAAGTGTTGGGATTATAGGCATGAGCCACTGTACCCAGCTGATTAATTCATTTTTAAAATATAAGCATATTCTTGGTTATATGTATGTATCTTTGCTTTGTTTTGTGTTTTGTTGTTTATCGATTTAAATTACTAGCTTCCAATAATATTCATAGGTGAACATAAAAGTTTATTATGTATGCCAATTTCTTATTATGCTGAAGGATAAATAAAAATTATGGACTAGGCAGTTGCTGTGTGTCAATGACTAACTTTGATAATGAGCAGGCCTGGCCCTCTATACAGTATCTGCTCTTCAGTGCTAGAGTAACAAATTGTTATCTACTCATTTGTACCTCTCAAAGTGAGAAAAGTTATTTGCACGTAAAAAAAATCTCTTAAGAAAGAAACTAGCTACTTACTAAGTGCATGCTGGCAATGAAAGGAGGAAGAAAGTCAAGGTGTTCAGGCATGACTTTTTTTTCTATTTCTATAAAAAATGCCTTGATACAGGGATTGCACAGAATCTGAATGTCATTTTGGGTAGTATGGACATTTTAAACAGTCTTTATTCTACCAATTCAAGAGTATGAGTTATCTTTTTTTTTTTGTTTTAATATTCTCTTCAATGTTTTTCATCTGTGTTTTATAGTTCGTAGACATCTTTGGTTAAATTTGTTACTAGGGTTTGATGTTTTTTTGTTTCTTTGTAGCTATTGGAAATGGGATTGCTTTCTTGATTTCTTTTTCAGATTGTTCACTTTTGCTGTATGAAAATGCTGCTGATTTTTATGTTGATTTTGTATTCTGCTCTACAGAATTTCAGTGCCTTTTATTTCTTTTTCTTGCCTAATTGCTCTGACTAGGATTTTCAGTACTATGTTATATAAAAGTGGTAAAAGTTGTCTTCGTGGTCTTGAGTTCAAATAGGAAAGGCTTTAAACTTTTCCCCATTTAATATGATTGTAGTTGTGGGTTTGTCATATATGGACTTTGTTATTTTGAGATGTGTTTCATCTTTGCTGGTTTAAGTGTTTTTATCATGAAGGATGTTGAGTTTTTGCACATGCTTTTTCTCTGTGTATTGAGAGGGCCACATGAGTTTTCTCTTTCATTCTGTTTATATGATGTATCACATTTACTGGTAATGAATGTGGTTAAACTTTGTGTCCCTTATATAAATCCTGCTTGATTATGGTGTATTATCTTTTTGATAAGCTGTCAAATTGGATTTGTGAGTTATTGTTTAGAATTTTTGCATTCATGCTCTCTAGGGATGTTATTTAATAGTGGGTTTTTTTGATGTTATTTTGTCTTTGTTCAGTTTTGGCATTGGGGTGATGCTGGCATTGTAGAATGAGCTTGGAGGTGTGCCCTTCAATTTTCTGGAATAATTTAGTAGAATTGGTGTTAGTTCTTCTTTAAATGCTTGGTAGAATTCTGCACTGAAGCCAGCAGGTCCTGGACTTTTTGTTTGTTTGTTTGTAGACATCTTCTTATTTCTGCTTCAATATTGTTATTGCTTTGTTCAAGTTTTTTATTTCCTTTTTTTTTTTTTTTAAGATGGAATTTTGCTCTTGTTGCCCCAGCTGGAGTGCAATGGCACGGTCTCAGCTCAATGTAACCTCTGCCTCCCGGTTTCAAGCAATTCTCCTGCCTTAGCCTCCCAAGTAGCTGGGTCTACAGGCACCCGCCACCACGCTCTGCTAAGTTTTGTATTTTTAGTAAAGACAGGGTTTCACCATGTTGGCCGGACTGGTCTTGAACTCCTGACCTCAGGTGATCCACCTGCCTTGGCCTCCCAAAGTGCTAGGTTTACAGGTGTGAGCCACCAAACATGGCCGGTTTTCTGTTTCTTTATGGTTCATTTGTGATAGGTTGTATATTTCCGAGAATTTATTCATTTCTTTTAGGTTTTACATTTTGTTGTATTTCTGTTGTAACTATTGTAATGTCTCTTTTTCTGTCTCTGATTTTATTTAGGTATTCTTTTGTTTTTAGTTTAGCTAAAGATTTGTCCATTTTATTTTTTAAAAAAACCAGTTGTAGTTTCATTGGTCTTTCATATTTAGTCTTAATTTCATTTATTTATCCTATGGTCTTTATTATTCCTTTTCTTCCGCTGAGTTTGGGTTTGGTTTTTGTTTTCTGAGACAGAGTCTCACTCTGTCGCCCAGGCTGGAGTGTGCAGTGGCGCAATCTTGGCTCACTGCAACCTCTGACTTCCTGGTTCAAGCAGTTCTCTTGCCCTCAGCCTCCCCAGTAGCTGGGATTACAGGTACATGACACCATGCCTGGCTGATTTTTATATTTTTAGTAGAGGCAGGAATTCACCATGTTGGTCAGTCTGGTCTCGAACTCCTGACCTCAAATGATCTGCCTCCCTAGGCCTCCCAAGGCTTTTTTTTTTTTTCCCCTCTCTTCTGGTTCCTTGATGTGTTTCATCATTGTTGTCTGTTTGAAGTCTTGCTACTTTTTTGGTACAGATAATTGTTTTTATAAACTTTACTTTAGAACTCCTTTGGTTGTACTTCATAGGTTTTAGTATGTTGTGTTTCCATTTTTTTTTCCTCTCACAAAATTCTAAAATTTCTTAATTGACCCTTTTGTTATTCAGGAGCATGTTGTCTAATTTACATGAACTTCTGCAGTTTCCCTTCCTTCTGTAATTGACTTTTAGTTTTTTTCCATTGGTTAAAAAAATTACTCAGTATGCATTCAGTAGTTTGAAATCTGTTGACTTCTTTTGTAACCTTATAGCCTGTCCTGGAGAATGTTTCATTTGTTACTAGAAAAATTAGTATTTTGCCAGTGTTGGACTGAATGTTCTGTAAATGTCTGTTAGGTCCATTTAGTTTAGAATGCATTTTAACTCCAGTATTTCTTTGGAAACATTGGTTCATTTTCTATCTGGATGATCTTCCATTGCTGAAATTTGGACTGAAGTCCCCTATTATTATTGTATTGCTGTTACTCTCTCCCTTTATGTCTATTAATTTTTTAATATATTTGGGAGGTTCAATATTGAGTGTAAAGGTATTTACAATTGTTATATCCTCTTGTTAATATTGACTCTTTTATCATTGTAAAATTGTATTTTTTGCATTTTTTTAATCGTTCTTTACTTAGAGTCTGTTTTATTTGCTAACAAATACAGCCATTCCTACTAGTTTGGTCATTTTTTTTTAGTCTATTCAGCCACTTGATATGTCTTTCAATTTGATAATTTAATCCATTTACCTTCAGTATTATTATTGATGGGTATGTGTTTACTATTGCCATTTTGCTTATTTTCTGGTTGTTTTGTAGATCCCATTGATTTTTTTAATCTCTCTCACTGTCCTCCTGTTGGTTATCTAGTAATAAGTTTTGATTTTGTGCTGTTTATTTCTGGTGTATTTATTATAGACATTGCTTTGTGATTACCCTAAGCCTTGCAAAAACTATCTTGTAGTTAAAATAGGTTATTTTAGGTAGGGCATGGTGGCTCACACCTGTAATTGCAGGCACTTTGGAAAGCCAAGGCGGGCGGATCACTTGAGGCCAGGAGTTCAAGACCAGTCTGGTCAACATGGTCAAAGCCTGTCTCTGCTAAAAATACAAAAATTAGCCAGGCGGGATGGCAGGAGCCTGTAAATTCCAGCTACTTTGGTGCCTGAGGCAGGAGAATTGCTTGAACTTAGGAGGTAGAGGTTGCAGTGAGCTGAGATTGCACCACTGCACTCCATCCTAGGTGGCTGAGTGAGAACAGAGTCTCAAAAAAAAAACTCAAGAAAATAATACAGGTTATTTTAAACTCGTAATGACTTAACCTTGATTGCAAAAGATCGTAAATAAACTATGCCTTAACACCACTTGCCTCTGATGTTTGGGCTTTTTGATGTTTCTGTTTACATTTAAAGATTTTTGCTTATATCTTAGCAGTTGTTGCAGTTGTTTGTTTTTCGGTTTTTTTGTTTGTTTATTTTTTTGTTTTTGTAGAGACAGGGTTTTACCATGTTGCTCAGCTGGTCTCGGATCTCCTGAGCTCAATTGATCCACCCATCTCGGCCTCCCAGAGTGCTGAGATTACAGTTGTGAGTCATCATACTTGTCCCCAGTTGTTATTTTTTTATTTTTTATTTTTTTGAGACAGAGCTTCGCCCTTGTTACCCAGGCTGGAGTGCAATGGCACGATCTCGGCTCACTGCAACCTCCGCCTTCTAAGTTCAAGCAATTCTCCTGCCTTAGCCTACCAAGTAGCTGGGACTACAGGCGTGCACCACCATGCCCAGCTAATTTTTGTATTTTTAGTGGAGACGGGGTTTCACCATGTTGACCAGGATGGTCTCAATCTCTTGACCTCATATTCCACCTGCCTTGGCCTCCCAAAGTGCTGGGATTATAGGCATCAGCCACGGCGCCCAGCCCCCAGTTGTTATTTTTAATAGTTTTATCTTGTAGTCTTCATCCTTAAGATAAAAATCATTTACTTACCACATTTATAGTATTAGAGTACTCTGAATTTCTTTTAGTTTTCTTACTTTTACCAATGAGTTTTATACCTTGAAGTTTTCTTGTTATACTTAGCATTCATTTATTTCAAATTGAAGAACTCCTTTTGGCATTTCTTATTATTAGGCTTGCATGTGGAGACCGGACACTTTCTAGTGAGTTTTTCACTTCAGTTATTAGATTCTTTATTTCTACGATTCCTATTTGATTTTTATTTTATTTATTTTTTTGAGATGGAGTTTGTCTGTCGCCTAGACTGGAGTGCAGTGGTGCAATCTCAGCTCACAGCAACCTCCACCTCCCAGGTTCAAGTGATTCTCCTCCCTCAGCCTCCTGAGTAGCTGAGATTACAGGCATATGCCACCACGCCCAGGTAGTTTTTTGTGTTTTTAGTAGGGATGGGGCTTCACCATGTTAGCCAGGATAGTCTGGATCTCCTGACCTCGTGATCCACCCACCTTGGCCTTCCAAAGTGCTAGAATTACAGGTGTGAGCCACCAGGCCCAGCCTCCTATTTGATTTTTTAAAATTGTTTCTATAGGCCGAGTGTGGTGGCTCACCCCCGTTATCTCAACACTTTCGGAGACTGAGGTGGGTGGATTGCTTGAGGGCAGATTGAGGGTGGATTCTTTGAGGAGTTCCAGACCAGCCTGGCCAACATGGTGAAACCCCATCTCTACTAAAAATACAAAAATTAGCTGGGTGGGGTGGCACGTGCTGAGGCAGAAGAAACCCTTGAACCTAGGAGGTGGAGGTTTCAGTGAGTCAAGATCACACCACTGCACTCCAGCCTGGGCAACAGAGCAAGACTCTGTCTCAAAAAAAAAAAAAAAAAGAATGTTTGTTTATTCATCATATTTCTTATTTTGTTTTCCAGATTTCATTTAGTTTTCTATTTGGATTTTTTGCGTGTATGTGATTCCTTAAAATTCTTTAAGAGGATTACCCTGAATTACCTGTCAGACATTTGATAAATCTTCAGTTCTTCTGGATCTATTGCTGGAGCTTTACTGATTTTGTTTGGTAGTGTAATACTTTCTGGACTTAAGTTGATGCATGTGTATTTGAGGTGATAGCTACCTCTTCCACTTTTTGCAGGTTTTCTTTGGAAGTATTAGACCTTTACTTCTTAGTATCAGAATTTGAACACTGGCTTCTTGTTTTTTTCTTGGTCCGGCAAGGACTTACAGTGAATTCCGGAATTTAAACACTGTTCCGGAATCAAGTCACTGTCCTTCTGTTCTTTGTCTGGTGAAGACTCTTAGTACTGGAGCTTAAACACTGTTCTGGATCTATATTGCTGTACTTACATTATTTCCCAGCCTGGGGAATATTTAAGAGTACTGCAACTTAATCCCGGCCTCTTAGTTGTTTTTAAGCCAAGGAAAGATTTTATACAGTCACCTGGGATTTCTGGAAAATCCAGCCAGGGATTTGATACCTTGGATTGTGCCCCTTGTAGTGCTTTCGTACCAGCCACTCCCTTCAACGTGGCGTTGCCAACAAAGTGCTCAGTGACCACCAAGATCTGTGTGTGCCAGTCGCTGTTATCAGCACTCTATTCTTTCTCCCCAGTTTATCCCAGGTGGTTCAGGCCTCCTGGCACTTCCAGTGGTTCCCATGTGATGGAACTGGAGTGGGCTTCTTGTGACGATTCCCAGCCTAGCAAGGAGAGCGATTTTCCACTTCCAGTTTCCTCTTATCTCAGCAATCATGGGTATAGGGAAATTCTCTTTGAGTGGTGTTTTGCCGGCTTGTAGGGAGGGGGCAGTTGGCACAGTGTGAAATGACTGTTTCTCTTACTAATCATAGTTTCTTGATTCTGTGGGCCAGGGGGTTTCTCTGCTTCTCTTCAGAGTTTTAGCATGTTCAGGTTGGTATTCTTATGTTTGAATAGTTTCTGGTTGTATTTTTGTGTGGGGAGTGATGCTGGGCAATTTTCTGTTCCATTATCTTGCTGATACCACAACACCAAAATAAAATTTTATCAGAATATCTTCCACAGAAATTCAGAAGGATAAGCCTCCATTGGTTTTTGTTTCTTTGTGAAAATTAGGCCAATTCTTATGCAAACAGAAGTTCACTCCATAAATGTATTTTAGGCCCCTGTCCTGGAGAAATTTACAGTTTGATGACTTGATTAATGATCTCTTTTATCATTCTTCCAGCATTTAATATGGTGACTTAAAAACATCTTAAATAATTCGTAGAGTATCGCCAGGAGTTTTATGATCAGCTTTCAAAGATACATAACTCTACACAGGTACACACACTTAGTGTCTGGTAGTCCAGTCATAAGCTATCCACAGTATTAACCAATCATCCAAAAAGCAGACCTGTCTGAAATGAATATTTTAATAAATCATCCAAAATTCCACATTTTAATACCCAAAATTTAAGCAAATTCCTCAGTACCTCATATTTATATGTACTAACTGCAGTTATTTAAATTGATACAACCTGGGCGTGGTGGCTCATATATGTAATCCCAGCACTTTGGGAGGCTGAGGCAAGTGGACCACTTGAGGTCAGGAGTTCGAGAGCAGCCTGGCCAATATGGTGAAACCCCATCTCAACTGAAAATATAATAAATTAGCCGGGCATGGTGATGCACACCTGTAATCCCAGCTACTTCAGACTGAGACAAGAGAATCACTTGAACCTGCGAGGTGGAGGTTGCAGTGAGCTGAGACCGTGCAACTGCACTCCAGCCTGGGCGACGGAGTGAGACTCTCCCAAAAAATAAATAAATGAATAAGTATATTTCCATTATCATTAATATTCATATTTTCCATTTACCACTCCTCTGAAAGTCACACATAAAACAGAACCTTCTCTTAAATGATAGCTTTACAGATATAGCTTCAAGGTAGGTTCTCTAGTCCCCTAATATGCCTTTCTCCCCATTCCCTTAATAACCTCAGCTTCTCTGTAGTCATTTTCTGCTAGAGATTGGTTTCTTTTAATATCACATGAAATTATTCTCATTTTATTCAGTTATTTTGCCTCTCATTTGAGAGGCCTACTCTGACTTTTATGTATAAACCAGTACATGCTATATACATAAATCTTTTTTAAATTTTTCTTTATAACCAGCAACAGTATATATTTGTCTACTGTTTATTCACTACGTTGAGAGCTCCCATGAGAACAGGAATTTTGTCACTGTTCCCTCCTAATAACGCTTTTACCTAGAGCAATGCCTTGAAATAAGGTACCTTTAGCAAGTTTTAAGTTTTGTTACAATAAATCTAAACAAATTAAAAATTTCAAATCATTTTCTGCAATATTTCAGATATTTTGTAAGTAGATGATTTTTTTTAAATTTACCAATAATGTCATTTTACTGGAAACTACTGGGTTCATGGATAATGTTTCTAGATAATAAGGCAGAAGCATAAAAGAATTCAAGAGGCAATCATGATTAAAAGCGTGAATTTTTGTAATTATCCCTGAAACATTTGATTATATGTTATAATTACATGAGTGTGGAATCAGTGTTTAAGAAAATAGCACTCAGAGTCTCAGGCAGGCGAGACCAGCCTGGTCAACATGGTGAAACCTCATCTCTACTAAAAATACAAAAATTAGCCCAGCATGGTGGCATGCATCTATAATTTCAGCTACTTGGAAGGCTAAGGCACGAGAATTGCTTGATCCAGGAGGCGGAGGTTGCAGTGAGCCAAGATCACGTCACTGCACTCCAGCCTGGGAGACAGAGCGAGACTTCTTCCCAAGAAAAAAGAAAATAGAACTCAGTTTAAAATTACATACTTGAGTATCAATCATACAGGATTCTAGCAGTGCTTATCATTTTCATACACATTTGAACATTGATTATTCGTCAGTAAAAGTTTCCCTTTACAACTTATATATAGTTTAACCTGTATGACATTGTTCAAGTGCCACCATTTTCTGAACTATAGTGACATCGGTTACATATTTCTTTTGAGATCGATAATCTGATCTCTGATATTCTTTCTTTTTTTCTTTTTTCTTCTTTTTTTTGGTTAAACACTGAACTGAAATGTGTGGTGAGGGAAGACTAAAGTTCATATTCATGTAACTTTGTAATGCCCTGTTATTTATTTCCAGGCTATTTAGTAGACATGACCCACAAGCAGAAGAAGCATTAGCAAAGAGGAGGGGAAGAAACAGCCCAAATGGAAACCTCATTAGGATGCTGGTTCTGTTCTTTCTTGAAAGTGAGGTAAAAAATGTTTCAGATAACTCCTTATTTCTTTTAATGATATTACATGTTAAATAAAATTGTCGCTTCATTCATTTTATTTTTTTCAATCAAATAAAAATAAGTCTGTTTCCCATAAAGTTGCCTTCATGAATTGCATGATTATAGAATCAGTCCTTCACCGTTTGTGGAAAAGTTCTGAACATTTATATAGGTGTGGATCCACACTGAATACAGACTGGCAATTGTTAAACTTTTACAGCATTGCAGAACTTCACACCTTTTTTTTTTTTCTTTTTTTTCTTAGACAGGGTCTCACTTTCGCCAAGGCTGGAGTGCAGTGGTGCAATCTTGGCTCACTGCAACCTTTTTCTCCCGGGTTCAAGGGATTGTCCTGCCTCAGCCTCCCGAGTGGCTGGGACTACAGGCGCCCACCACCATGCCCGGCTAATTTTTGTATTTTTAGTAGAGACAAGGTTTTACCATGTTGGCCAACTGGGCTTGAACTCTAGACCTCAGGTGATCTGCCTGTCTCAGCCTTCCAAAGTGCTAGGATTACAGGCGTGAGCCTCTGTGCCCGGCCTGCATACCTGTTTTTTTTTTTATTTTTGCCTTTTGTTTTTATGCCTGTAGCTTTTACATTACATTATACAGTTTGTGAAAATTGTCAGACTGTTAATACCACTAGTTTTATCTTGTTTGAAAATTATTTAGTAAGGAGAAAGAAAAATATGAATTCATATTTTAATTGATAGTTGCACAAACCTTGTAGAAATATTTCCATGTTCTGTATTCAGTTATTACTTAAACAATTGTGTAATTAACACTTACATGTCAGACTGTTTTCACAGTTTTTCCACCAAAATGGTGTGGGGTTTTGTTTTGGATATTTTAATCTGTATTTTCTACTGCTGCCGTGTCATTGGGGAATACAGTACATTAAACCTAAAAAGCTCCTGAATAACTTAACTTCTTGGTTTAGCAATGATTGACAATAGAGTTGCAGACCAGGTACAGTGGCTCACACTTGTAATCCCAGCCCTGTGGGAGGCCGAGGTGTTCAGATCTTTAGACCAGGAGTTTGAGACCAGCCTGCTAATATAGCAAAACCACATCTCTACTAAAAATACAAAAAAAATTAGCTGGGCATCGTGGTACACACCTCTAATCAAAGCTACTTAAGAGGCTGAGGCACGAGAATCTCTTGAACCCGGGAGGCAGAGGTTGCATGCATTGAGCCGAGAGTGCACCACTGCACTCCACCTTTGGCCACAGAGCCAGATTCTGTCTCAAAAAAAGAAAAAAATTAAAATAAATAAACAGAAAATAGAGTTGCAACAGAAGTAAAGCCATCTAGAAACCTAGAAAGAAACCTAAAATCTCAATTTTATTGTTAAAAAGTGTTTTTGGTTTGTGCTAAAATGTCAGTGAAGAAGCTCAAGTTTGAGAGTAAGAGGGGAACTTCGGAGGAATTAGGAAGAGAGACACAAACAGGTAGCCTGTATGAAAACTAAAATTGAAGAACTCAGTTGGTGGAATGAAGGGTGTGAGGGCAAAACAGTAGAATGTGGTAAAGGAGTTTCTACCATTTTTTTTTTTTAAGAGAGTTACCAATGAATAGAGAAAAAGTCAGAAACGAAACTAGAGAGTTGAATTTGAGTAAAGAATGTGTTTAATAGTGATTTAAATGTGTATACAGATTACTGAAGGTCTTGTTTAAATGCCGATTCTGATTCAGTAGCTCTAGAATGGAGCCTGAGATTCTGCATTTCTGACAGTCTCTAAAATAATGCTATGCTACTGGTCCAAGGATCACACTTTGCATAGTAATAATTTGAAGCCTTACTTTCTTAACAAGCAAGTGTGGATATATTTTAGAATAAAATGCATATGTGAATTTTTGAGTAAAACACTGAATACCCAGTAAATATCACATGTGTACTAGACCATTTCAACTTACACTCTTATCTCCCTTAGGTTTTAGAGGAATGGAATAAAAAGTAGCCAGGCATGGTGGCTACTTGGGAGGCTAAGTTTAGAGGATCCGTTGAACCCAGGAGTTGCACAGGCTGCAGTGAGCTATGATCGCACCATTTGCACTTTAGCCTGTGCAAGACCCTGTCTCTAACAACAACAACAATAAAAAGCAACATAATAGTTTCAGAAATTGATAAGTATGAGATATCTACTGAAAAGATTAAGGAATATGATGATCTTCATTAACTGATTATTAATTAAAGGAAATTTTTTTTTATCTTTGAAAGCGCAAGGACTTTTCTTTCTGATTATTAAAAGGCGTGAGTACTTAGTTTTAGGCAAGTTTTTACCTTTTTTTTTTTTTTTTTTTTTTTTTTTTTTTTTTTTTTTTTTTTTTTTTNGCCTTGCTCTTGTTGCCCACACTGGAGTGCAAGGGCCCAATCTCGACTCACCACAACCTCTGCCTCCCAGGTTCAAGCAATTCTCCTGCCTCAGCGTCCGGAGTAGCTGGGATTACAGACATGCATCACCAAGCCCAGCTAATTTTGTATTTTTAGTAGAGATGGGGTTTCTGCATGTTGGTCAGGCTGGTCTCGAACTCCCGACCTCAGGTGATCGGCCTCCCGAAGTGCTGGGATTACACACATGAGCCACTGCACCTGGCCTTTATCTTTTATTTAAAGAAATAATTTGTAATGTTTATTAACTACTCCATGTTCAGATCCTCTTACTGTATTCCTGTGTTTACTACCATTTGCTAAAGTGTTACAACAGCATTAGAATATATTTGCCAGTTTTCCTGTACTGCATTCTCTTTTTTCTCATCTTTTTTTTTTTTTTCTTGAGACAGAGTCTTGCTCTGTCACCCAGGCTGGAGTGCAGTGGCATCATCTCAGTTCACTGCAACCTCTGTCTCCTAGATTCAAGTGAGTCTCATACCTTAGCCTCCCAAGTAGCTGGGACTACAAGTGTGCCCCACCACACCTGGCTAATTTTTGTATTTTTAGTAGAGACGGGGTTTTACCATGTTGGTTAGGCTGGTCTCAAACTCCTACCCTCAAGTGACCCACCTGCCTCAGCCTTCCAAAGTGCTGGGGTTACAGGCATGAGCCACCATGCCTGGCCCTGTATTGCATTCTTGACAGCTACAAAAGCAACTGCAAATAGTATTGAAGGGTTTCTGGTTAGTTCTAATGATTCCTGGTGCTTATATTGACCTTTATGGTCTCCTGTGTTTTGCAAGAAATATTCTTTGTGAAAATCTCAAAGAAAAAAGAAAATCTCTCTTTTTATACTAGTGTACACATAGGATGAATGCTTGAAGCCATATTCTTATAGTATGATAGTATTCAAATTGTGTTCTACTCTGAATTTCTCTTCATTTTACTGTTAACACACTTAAATTGGTAAAATTTTAGTAATAGACTTGTGAAATATTGATTCAAAAGAGGATTTAGAAGTTCATAAAGTAGGGACTGGCACAGTGGCTCACGCCAATAATCCCAGCACTTTGGGAGGCCAAGGCGGGTGGATCACCTGAGGTCAGGAGTTCAAGACAAGCCTGGCCAATATGGTGAAACCCTGTCTCTACTAAAATTAAAAAATTAGCCGGGCATGGTGATACATGCCTGTAGTACCAGCTGCACAGGAGGCTGAGGCAGGAGAATTGCTTGAGCCTGGGAGGCTGAGTTTGTAGTGAGCCAAGATCACGCCCCTGCACTCTAGCCTGGGTGACAGAGTGAGACTGCATCTCAAAAAAAAAAAGAAGGAAAGAATAAAGTAGGAGTCTTCCTTGCTGGAGTGCAGTGTTGCAATCTTGGCTCACTGCAGCCTCCACCTCTTGGGTTCAAGCCATTCTCCTGTCTCAGCCTCTTGAGAATTTACTGGGATTTCAAGCATACGCCACCATGCCCGGCTAATTTTTGTATATTTAGTAGAGATGGGATTTCCGCCGTGTTGACCAGGCTTGTCTTGAACTTCTGACCTCAAATGAGCTGCCCACCTCAGCCTCCCAAAGTGCTGGGATTACAGGCATGAGCCACTGTGCCCAGCCGAAGGAGTATTTTATAGATAAGTTACAGACTGATATGGTTTGGCCCTGTCCCCACTCAAATCTCACCTTGAATTGTAATAATCCCCACATGTCAAGGGCGAAGCCAGTTGGAGATAATTGATTCATGGGGGCAGTTTTTCTTATACCATTCTCATGGTAGTAAATAAGTCTTATGAGATCTGATAGTTTTATAAATGTGAGTTCCCCTATACATACACTGTCTTGTGTGACGCCATGTAAGACATCCCTTTGCTCTTCCTTCATTCTGCCATGATTGTGAGGCCTCTCCAGTCATGTGGAAGTGTGAGTCCATTAAACCTCTTTCCTTTATAAATTTCCCAGTCTCGGATATGTCTTTATTAGCAGCATGAGAACAAACCACTACACAGACATTTACCTTGGATTAACTGAACTGATTATTATTATTATTTTTTTACTGGAATGTGGAGTAGTAACATTTTTAACAGAATTATAAAATGTTGAATTGAAAGCAGTTTACAATGCAGGTAAAATGAGATTAAGAGATCTGTCTTAACAGGTCAGTAATTTTCTTTTCTTTTGGTAACAAAAGGTGATTTTTAAAGATATTTCCACCTGTGGCAGTCATTGATATCAGGTGACGAAATACCTTGTATTTTAGATGCATGCCAAATAGTTGGATAAGTTTTACATAAATGTGATAAGTACGGATTTCCCTAGAAGTAGTGTCACTCCAGAATTTTTTGCTTTTCAGAGGAACAGGATGCTATTAGTAAATATTTCAAAACAACAAGAATAATCCAGAACGTTTATGGATATTATGGCAATATGGTCACCCTTCGTATGGGCATATGGAATGATGAGGCTAATTGTGACAGTCATTTAAGACAGAAAAATTGACAGCTATATTATTGGTACATCTAACAAATTTCCCAAAGAAGCCACGCACGATGGCTCATGCCTGTAATCCCAGCACCTTGGGAGGCCGAGACAGGTGGATTACCTAAGGTCA